AAGCCGTTCGATACGACCTTGATCGTAATCAACCTTAGCCATGTAGGAACAATGTACAAGCATAAAATAAATACAATATTTCAAAATATTAAAGAGTCCATCCTCAGAATTGGAATTCGTTGGAAAAAGGGGAGCTTTGGAATTCTGAGAGAACGGTTCGGGTAGAGGGTGCCTTGTCTGGGCCTGATTTGGTCAAAGGAAAGCGCATAATCTAATTAAGCGAAGGACACTGTTAAATGCTACGTTGACCGCATGGGTCATCGGTCTATCTAAAAAATAAGCGAGAAAACTAAATTGTTTTTATCTAAAATTGTAACTTCTTGCCGCATTGATTCCACCCAAACAAAGGTTGTCTTGTAGCCTAACACTAAACAACCATAATCAAAAAAAGACCCCATGATCTTACATGTTTTCTACTTTAACTCCGTTTATTTGGATTTACAAATTACAAAAATCTAGTGTCCACTCATTGAAATATAGTTAGTTTGGTCGACTAAGCTGTGTATTCGCTATTACCGTCCTGATGTGTATAAAGCGTAGTCTTTAAAGGAGCATTTTGCCAGAGAAAACAAACTCTTCGAATATCAGTCCGACACACGACGACAAAAGGCGAAGGATGTCGTATTCTAACTTGTAACTGTAACTTGTAAGTGAACAACCGTGAAAACCTCCGTTTGTCAAAACTCAATTCAGTGCAACATGGTAATTACAACCTTTATCTTATTACCGTGCTAAAAACTCTTCGTCGCCACCGCCTGCACGTTTAAATCAAAACTGAATTTCACATACAGCAAATCCTATTCCGCTAACTTTACAATGTACGTGACAAATTCTGTATTCGACAAATTATAGTTTCCCACCATAAACTTTGTTCTGTCAACTAACAATATTGATGTAACACAGAATTGTTAACTCTCGCATTCTCTAGGCGATACCAACGAAGTAAACTGATTTATTTTGAATGACGATAAGCACAACAGTGAACATTCGGTACAGATACGGTGTGCGCATGCAGGGATATTGTTTGCGAAGAGCAATGTTGTTAATTATGCTATGAAGACTGCTATAGATAACTAAAGGCCAGCATGTTATTGGTCAGTCCAGTTAGACGTAGGTCGAAAATAAATTAGACATTCTCATAGAGAACAATTCGGCCAACTACTATCTCGTCCGAATGGTTTTTCATCTAAGTAAACATAACCAAGTAATTGATTAAAAAGCTTCTTGAAGATAGTTTGTCATCACTCAGTATACAAGCTGCTAATAAATTCATATGAAATGCTGATATGATTCTCCTTTCATGCAATCAACGTATATAAACAAATTGAAAGATATAGAATTATGTTAGTCGGTGTATCAGAAACACAGCCTTTATTCAGGTGCAGTACAAAGAATCACTCCTGCATAAGCCATATAAAACAAATGAATTCCTCCCTCATCGTGGAAGTAATTACAACGACCTACAGCTTCCGGCGAAAAACTGCCTAATTTTATAGACTTACACTTAGCTCGCAGAAGCATGTTGAGCCTATCGGAAGCATTTATTTCGTCCATGAAATCGCAACAACACGAGGATGCTATCGTCTTTTGGCATCAAAATAAGCGCAGCCTTGTTCGGGGTAATACGCTTTCGTTCAATTTGATCAAAGTGTTTTCTAAGCTGTTACTGAAATTCATCAAAGCTTTTAAGTTATTAACTATGTCACAACAAACAAACTGAAACCATATACGTTGATAATAGAAACGCCGTCCTGAATTCGCTTTAAAAAACTATGACAAATTGCAGAGAACCAAAGTTAGCAACATAAGTTTACCCAAGGAATGTCGGTAGCACCAATGAGCTTCACATGTTGACTCTAATGAGGAGGTACAAAATATTAGAAGAGAAGAAATTTTGCTTTTTAGCGGAAGTTCCGGCGACATTTCGATCACAAAGCATAAATAGAGTTGTTGTGCCAGTCAACGATCACAACAACGATTACCAAATCGTCAGTTTTACAAATGTAAGTGCGTATAATATGTAGTACGAAGTACTCCTATCACTACCATTTGATGCTTATATAAACCTAAAATAAATAAGGGTTAGATTCATCACATTAATTCTCATGATCTTATTTAGGAATCACATTTTTAGGCGTCATTTACTTCACATCATTCATTTCAATATTACCATTATTATTATTGTTATCATCATCTGTAATAATTCAGATGCAAAACGCTAATACGTTGTAAACAAATTGGTTTCTCCTGGGTAATTCTTACAGATCACAGATGTTAATGTACAATTTAAGACAAAACGAACACATTTTCTGAGCGGCCGACAAGCTGAAAGTTCTACGACGGACTAAATTTTTAGGGCAGATTAGTAACTTCTGATGGCTTTTAGCATTGCTGAATTTCAAACACCTACAACTAATAACAAAGACTATATCGCTTTTTATGTGTCGTTTCAGCTGAAACCCAAAAAAAAAAAAAAAATTATATTATTTATATTGTGTATGGAATCGTATGGAGTGGATGCATTGATTTGTTCACTTACAAACAGACACCAGTTTCCAGTTACCATGCGGGCTCCATTTTGTAACATCCTCTTAGCGGGTTATTGAGAATGACTGGGCTTCATTGGCCTACACAGACGGCTTCGCGTTCTGAGAGATATGCTTTAAACGAATATCTTTCTTGTTACTTGCTCTCACAAACTGTCAACGCTTTCTAGCGACAGATTAATCCTATATGTGTTCTTGTATTTGTCTAATTATTTAATTTGTAATTCTATGTAGTTTAATGCAGACGTTTCGTAGATTTGAAACTATGTTTGACCTGGAATATTCGAAAAAAAGATTCTTGCCTGCCGATAATCGCCATCTTTGCCGCTGCAATTGATTTTTTGCGCACGAATGCCAAATCGCCTTATCTATACCCTTTCATCCCTGAGGTTTGAAGAACGACTGATTATTAATTTTAGAGGCCGTATGAGATTTAGATGCATTGGTCTTACGAAGGATATTCTTAGATTTGTAATCAACCTAAGAAAATATTAACTTGATTCTACTAGCAAGACCCTGTAGTAGGGGCTGTAATGTGATGGAGGTAAACGACCATAAATATAGACACTTACTTGAAAATTATATCATGGTTTCAATGATGTTACAGTAGTCTCGATGTTTCGGTAGCGGGTTTAGACTTCGTACGTCTATAAAAAGAAAATGTGAAATATACATTAACATCTTGTTCTCAGGTCAGGCGTTAATGGTAGATAATATCGGAGCATACACAACTATTTCCGACCTATGAGTAAAATACGTCCGATAGTTGGATCCATCCATTCTTATTACAAAATCAATTGTTGAAGTTCAAACGCAAAAAAAAGCCGTATATAAAAAAATTTCACCAGAGTAAATGTAGCAGGATATTCAGTTCGAAAAGCTGTTGACAATATTGAGAAGCCCCATCACTGTTTTAAGTTTGTCATCTACTATAAGGCATCTATAAGTAAGGGTTAAAACATTTGCGAAGAACTAGCGATAGCACAAGTGATTAGGCCTTATGATAAAATCGTACAGAATAATCATAATGTGATAGTTGAGTAAAATCAAATTGTTTGCAACTAGTTGAAAGACAGCACGCGGTGTATGAAATAAGCCTCTTTAATATGAGTGTATTTATTTTGACATTTGTCAAGTATCCTCTACATAAAAAGAAATACAAAAACATTTTTAGAATAGAATAAGAATATTGAGAAAATAAATATGTGTTATTCAAGGAAGGCGTCTTTGGGCATAAGCTTTCTAGGTAGCATCCTCGCATTCGGTTCATGCTAGGCCATGCGCTGCAGAGCGGGATATTAAATGTCCCTTTTTTGTAGAGTGTCTTTTATGTTCCATCTACCAGAGCACCAGTAGCAAAGAATTCCGGGTCAACCTCAGCTGTCTATTCCTCCCCTTGTCAGGTGAATTTAAGGTAGACGAGCGTTTTTGGCAAGCCAAAGTGGCGCTGTAGTTGCTCAGTAAAGAAGGGCGCATTTGCTAACAAGTAGACGTAACAAGTATGGCAGTATGTATGCAAGCCCAATGCTCTCTTGAGAAAAGCGGGCATTTACCCTATTTGTTGTTACTAATTGCTGATTGTGCTATGTTTGAGAATTATTTGAGTGAGATATAGCCATATTGTGTTCATGATTATTCATGTAATACTTGATGTCACCCGTTGACTATGGGGATTGACTCCACCTATATATAAGGTGTCTTCTTTAATAAAACGTAACACCTCTGCAGTTACGCAGAAACGCACACTTAGACTTTTAAATGTAGATTTTTAAGATCCACGAAGAGGCTCACCGTAATGGGACAGAGAGGTTGCGCTGAAATAAACAATAAAAATAGTTATGTTTTACTTAAATGACTGTTAAACATACCGAATTATGATAGAGTTCAACAGTGAAAAAGCGCGTAATCATGATCAGTTACTAGTTATCTTTATTTTTCTTAAGTGTTTATATAGTTTTTAGGCTTACAGGTATTCATACAACACGTAGGCGCTTTAATATACGACGAAAAAACGTTGCACAAGTGGCAATCGTTACAGACTTCTGATTGGCTAATGTGTCGAATTTTCCCAATTCCTATCCTCTTCGACTGGTAGGCAAATTACTTGACAACACATAACTTATTGTTATAAAAGGGCTAGTCTACTTCTTTCACTTCAGTATGAGCTACCGCTTTATTAAGATATGAATTCATGTATCAATACAACATAGTATGCATTAAATCCAACTTCAACATCTTCTAAATCTACTACTGCTTTAAAGAAATAAAATATCTCAGAAAATCAATCTAATCTACTATGAATGCACTATTTCGAATACGAAAATTTGCTTTTGACATTCCCCAACTGCTATGTAAACACGAAGTGGGTTTTTGAAGGATCGCGCCACAGTTTATGAGTCGGTATTTTTCGACCCAGCGCTGCAATCTACCATCTGTTTCATGACGCTGCCTTTAGTTTTTGTTCCGTGAGTGAGCTTTTCGGTTCTTTGTGGTGGCCGTAAAGATGGTGGTTGTTCTCGTGGTGTTGTGCTATTGTGTTCGCTAAGCGTATTGTCTGGATAGCTAGCCGCCGCATTTGTATCAAGGCTTACTCTATCTTGGGACGGCTTTTTGACACACCATCAGTATTATTGAAATTGTCGAAGCTTACCATTAGGTGCGGCCGTATGATTTTGCAGCCGCCTGGCTTGTGTTTAAGCTGTACATAGTCTCGGTCCAGGCAAAACCCAGCAAGATCCAAAATGACGCAGTTCCTGCCTCCACAGCTTTTGCTGTTGTTCAAGGCACGGGACCCGATTCCCTATATGCCACCGGTAGGAAAACTACCTCATGAAAAACAACAGGGCAACTACACAGGAGTCGCCCCATTTGTGGATAACTTCGAGGTCAGTACAGGTCTATAACGAACTCTAGTGTATGCTGGAAACTGCAAAGGGACAAAAAGTCGGTTTGTTTTACTCGGCGTGTGTGCACCCAGAACGGAAGGTTGCGGGTTAAAACATTTAAATTCGAAATCGATTTATAAAAAGATCTATTTGAAACACCAAAATCAGAATCTTATTGTTAGTGGGGTTACGTTTTAGTACAATATGAATGTTTCGAGTTGTGTAATACCTTCATATGTATTATAATGCGCAATTCCGTAGTTATGACTGCTTCTTCTGGTTATGTTATTGTGCTCAGGACCCGGTTGAGGCTCCACCAGCGATGAGAGTTGAAACTCGTGAAGAGCGTAGAGAACGACGTGCCAAAGAAAAAGCTGAAGAAACCGCTTATCAGCTTGAACAAGCAATTGCCGTTTGGGATCCAACGAGTAACGAGGCTGCAACTGCAGATCCTTTTAAAACACTCTTTATTGCTAGAATCAACTATGAGACATCAGAAGGAAAATTACGCAGAGAGTTCGAACAATATGGCAGTATCAAGCAGGTACATAGCGTTGTAACGAAATAATAACAATGAGTTCGAATTTTCCATTACGTACCTAAATTTTAAGTGATTTGTTGTTAGTATTAATTTGTTACTATTCTAATCGAGTTGGTTATTATACATGTATTCAATGAACTGTAACATGTTCTTCATTTTACTTCGCATTGTTCTCAAAGTGGCGTCATTTCTTGTACCAAGTGGGAAGGTATTTTGGTAAATGCGTTTTATGTCTAACACGCAAGATGTGACACCCCAATCCGGATCTGAAAAAGTCTTATTTAAAGACTGAATATTTTCTAAAGATAGTTTTTTAACGACTATTTTTCAGATCTGCATGATCCACAACAAAATTAGCGGTAAACCTCGGGGATACGCGTTCATAGAGTATGCACACGAACGTGATATGCATGGTAAGTGGGTACAAATAATTCCCCTTATTGCTGTGCAATCAGTTTCTCAATGAAGCTAAAAGAGAAAAAAAACTAAGTCGCCTTTGTCCCAAACTTATTTTCTTTGTTGATCAAAATCGTATTTCAGCTTCAGTAGCTGCCAGTTCATAATGCATTTTAATTTTCTGTTGACATTGGAACAGTGATACAATGCTTTTTTGTATTTGTAGCTATTAGGAACTTGCCGCCAACAAAGTGTTTATTAGTATTTTAACCGCTTTAGTAGAATCTATCTTACATTCGTACTTTGTGTATGAATGCTACAAACATCATTATTCTTCCGTGCGATAGTTGCGGACCATTGCTTAACAATTTTCAATTGGCTCATGTGTAGTCATTATAATTGCTACAAAGCACTGAGTCTACGAAATGGTATTTCGTCATTCAAGGCTACACCTGTTTGGCTGTAAAGGAGTATCGCTGTAAGGAAGATACGTTTTTAACGCCTGCACGCGTATAAGCGATAACTGATTTTTGAACAGAATGACGAACACACTTCTGTTTAACGAGCTAAGGTTAATTGAATCTGTGGAATAAACGCGCTGCTAGTCATGATCATGATGATAGGACGTGACTGCCTTTTGGGTTCGCCGGCGTTGATTAATGAAGCTCCAAATTAGTAACCAATATTAATTAAGATGATCTTCGTATTTTTTCGCTTTCGGAATTTTTAGACTGTGTTATGCATGGTCAAGTTACTGAAGTTACTGATTATTTTTAAAATATTTGGATAAGAATACAAAGCGTTTAAAGCGTACTTTATGGTAAGCTAGTCAGCCTCTCTAGCAAAATGTTGTCATTCTTAGGATCCTTCGGTAAGCTCACATTGGTCACACAAAGATTGAGGCCAGAGTAGCTCATACAACCTTGCAGTAAGCTGATTCGTGTATTTTGGTAAGAAATCACTAAGGAATGGCGGGTAAGATGGCTCTCCTCTCTGAGCTTTTTCTTTGCCACAAATATTATTTAACCTCATAGGAAAAGCTTGTTTATGTATTTGTCAAATTTGCTTATAGCCATTCAAGTTTATAAGCAACGTCGCAGTCGTACCAAAAAACCTAGGTGAATTTTTTTCTTTCTCCCTACATGAAAGACAGTAACAGCTAGGGCGACAGACTGGATTCGACATCGGTCAGTGTAGTAAGTAAATTATTGCGCAGGAGTCTTTGTACCCATTCCGTAATGTCCGGCCGACCGATATTGGCGTCGTGCGGTATCATTATAGTGTTGTCTGAACGTAAGTATCAGCCTGCGTCAGAGCGGCGGTACATCTTCGTGGCGACGAGTTTCAACCTTCATCTATTAAGAGGTAATTGAGTCAGAGGTAACTCGTTCAACCATTATACAAATACAGCAGACGGTTTTTTTTTCGATTCTCAGGTTATCAGTGCCGATTTTTACGTTACATTGTAGAATCATGCGTCTTAAATAATCCTATGATATTTGGTCTATGTTTTTCATTTATCATCGTTGGCCTTATCAGTATCAGTAATTAATATTGACCTTATACATTCTAAATTTCTCCACTGTGAATTTAATTCAAGGACTCTGAATTGAATGACACATATCCCGTTATCTTCTGTGTATTAAGTAGGCGCATGTTCTTTCAATATTTACGCATTTCTCTAAGTGGTCGTATTTTGTACTCGCGGTAAGGAGTACCATTTACTTGTTATACCGCAAGTAAGTTAATTTGGTGGTAAGTCCGAGGGTATCCGACTTCAAAGAAAGTGTGAGTGAGTGATGGATAGTCTTTCCACTGGCGCCTTCATCTGGAAGGTAAGGCCCTTGCCTCAGGTAAACAATTATATTAGAAGAAGAAAAAGACCACCAACCAGTTATGAACGAGTTACGTAGACTGTTTGATGGAATTTAGTAGATACTGCCGTATCAAACCACCGCAAGGTTTGACTTGTTTGAAAGGATTATAGTTAATTTCGTGATGATGACGTAAATTAATTCCATGATGAACACGCTGTATTCAATAAATTGGAAAGCTCCAAATGTCGCAGAGCTGTCAGAGGAGTGATCCGTGTCCGGAGCTATTCTTCGACTGTCATTAAAGAGTGGCTATTAGATACCCTTCCGAAACCTCTAACTCGTAGCAAATGTTCCATATGTGTGCGTGATTGCCTCATCGTAACGGTTCTATAACGAACAGTTACTTGATTGAATTTGTAGAAAACGCGTAATAGATGAGCAATGAGTCGAGCTTCATTAATTAAAGTTCATGGAACAGTTATTCTGTTAATGGGTTTTGGCTTTGTCAATAAACTAAGACCCATAGCTTTTCATATCCACAATTTGGGATCGGAAAGTCCTGAAAGCTAGAACATATATATATAAATATATATATATATATGGCTCTCTTTGAATTGGCTTGGTTTGTCATGATAAATCGATAATATTATTAGAACTAAAAATAGTGATCCATACTTGCCTATGTAAGATATTGCTGTTTTAAGGATCGCTTGATGTTCGCTACTGTATCTTAAGAATGTTGCGAGCTGATCCTAAATGCATATAAAAGGGTAGCTGCAGAGAGTTACTTTATGATGATATGTATGGCTCCTCTATTGTTTTTATTTGGGATCTCTTCTTTCTTCTTGGTATATGTTAAACGTAATCAAATTTAAGTACTTAGCAGTTCTTTGCGATGCAGTTCTTTATGGTGCCCTATTTAGCTCAGCTTCTTATATGTTTAGTATATTTTATAATATCCACGATCAGGAAAAGGGTGCGGAAGGGTAAGTCTCAATCAAGTAAGTAAGGGTAGTAAAGTAATACCAAAAATAATAGTAGTGTAATAATCATAGGAGTGTTGAACAATGTAAGTAGGAAGTACCGCAGCTGTAATACGTGTGGCTGCCCATTCGCAAGATGATGCCGTGTTGACTTTATAGTTTCTTTGTGTGTGTGTGTGTGTGTCTGTGTGTGATTGCTCGCTGCCATCATTATGCGGTGGTTCCATTTTCTAGCCGCGTACAGACACGCCGATGGCAAGAAGATTGATTCCCGTCGAGTTCTGGTCGACGTTGAGCGGGGCCGAACCGTTAAAGGCTGGCTACCGCGCCGGCTAGGGGGTGGTCTTGGTGGTACCCGCAGGGGTGGACCGGAAGTAAATACGCGACACTCAGGTAGAGAAGATCCTGAAAGAGAACGCGCCCGTAGAGAAGAAGGTAGTGATCGCGGCGAACGTGATCGGGAGCGGGAGCGGTAAGTCAGTTTCTTTATTATACGGGCATCCATTATAATCGTCTATATAATTATTAATAATACAGTTCGTTTCACAATAAGGTAGTACGAGGACATATTAGCGAAGTGACTATTGTTGCGACCTGTACGCCAAATAAACAAATTGTGTCGACGGCCATTGTACACTTTTCCTCCAGTTATTCGTCCGAATCGTATCAAGCAAATCTCCTCCTCTGTCGTCTAATCATATTTGCCTGAGCATTTTCACATCACGTTGCTTCATTAGTTGAAACGCTAGCATACTCAAATGCACTGTCTTCTTATATAATAACGATAAGCAACCTTTTAGCAACAAAAGCAACAAAAGATTATCATTTTATCCTATGTCCGTTGTAACGCTGTGGGCTATTCCCTCGATGCATATACAGGGTGAACCGTCAAAATAGATTTTTTTAGTGTATACAAATCCCTTTATTCAAAACCGGTCCTAAATGCTAAAGGCCTTTTCGAGAAACATGTAAATAAACACGTGAAAACAGCGTATAGTCATCAGAATTTGAGAAAATATCTGCTCAAAGAGCCATTTACGGTAATCCTGTATCTATTGCTTACTGAGTCATTTAGCTAAGCTCAAACGACTAATCTTCCCGAGCTTTATTGCATTCTTTAAGTTGATTAGCCCTTTCGATAGTTTTTTTTTTGTACTTAAGGTCTGTTATCAGCCTTATATTTAATTCTACCGAATATTTCCGTATGCAGCGAATTTTTTTCCTATGCTGTATTTTAGAAAAATTTTTGAATTGAATGCGCACTTAAAATTTAAGCTTAGGCAATTATAAAGTTTCTTATCATTTCTGCTCTACGTTACTAATCGGAAAGCTATAATCGAATGTTTTTTCCGATATGCGAACTGCTCTTTTTAAGTCAGAGATCAGCAATTTGACTTATCGAAGGTGGTACCAGTGATTACATTATCTAAAAGCTTACATTTGACCAAAGAGTGAGAGAATGTGCGTGTTTTAGACGACTGATTTTATCTATGCGTTCATAAACGGGGCAGGTAATGCCTGCTCCAAACAGGTTGGGTACTGCTTTGCGAATGCAAGCATAGAAAAATCAAAGACGATTCACAGTTATTGCCTTTGTCCCATCCGGTCTCATTCTTAATAATTAAGACCTTTATTTTTTGTTCTGGAAGTCAGCTGAACAGAATTGCGGGTTATGTATAAATTTTGCACTGTATAAAAATGCAACCTTTTTTTGGTTTCTTTGGTAACTTTTATCCTGTACAGTGTTTTCTGAGCAGTGGCTTCTGGTTCATTACCATGTTGTGTTCTCGGCTGCCGATTAGGGTATTTAGGTTTTTTTCAATGGACTCTTATATAATAAATGTGCTGCGAAATAAAACAGTATTCATTCACGGCGTTCACATCATGGCAAGTATAAAAAATGCCCTTCCAGTCTGAAGTTAGACTATAGACGGCAAGCTATTTTATTCGCTTTTCTCAGAGCCAGGGACAGGAACAATCAACGTCGAGATTTGATTACGAATAGAGTATGGCCGCTGCAGAGTCCTTAGCTACCGTAGCTCAGCAGATGTCGCGTTACCTACTGAGTTACCATTTAGAAAAATAATATTTTAGACACTATGGTGTCAGTAAGATCGTTGGTAGCTGGAACAACGGTAGTCTTATTCCAAAACGAAAATAAACGGAGTTTACCAAAAAAAGGTAAACATCTTTTTTTTTTTTCTTAGAAAATCTATTGGCATCTCTATTCCTTTTCGAAAAAAGCAGGTACAATTATTCCAGTCTATCCGACCATAATTTACATCCAAAGAAAACAACTGTGCAATTCATTTGTGCAAAAGCTTCCAGGTCAGCAACGAGCTCTTTTGTTCCTCATTGCAAATCCTGTATCAAACTAAACGATTAATCTCTACAGCTCTCGGACAGTGTCAGGCCTACGACTATGATCTAAAAGCATTTTCTGCTTAGGAACGTAGAAGGGACATGATGACCTCATTGATCTTGTTAGAACCTACTTTTATCGCTATTGTTTTCTGGTTATTTCTTGTTTTCATACGATCTTCGTAAAGTTTCAAAAAGATAGTAAACTATTAATATAATAATCATTTGACTATTTTAGATCTAGCACACTCTCAGAGTGTAGACCCAGTTTTCATCGTACATTTATTGATGTTGTAATTTCAGTGATAGGGATAGGCGACGAGAACGGTCACGTAGCCGCGATCGTCGAGACCGTGGCCGGGATCGAGATCGCGACGAGCGAAGACGCGATCGGGATCGCGGAGAAAGAGGGGCAGGGAACAGACGAGATCGAAGCAGGGGAGACCGAGATGAACGAGGCAAGAAAAGGAGGAGTCGCAGTAGGTCACGCGAGGAACGACGCAAGGCTAGAAGGTTTGTGTTGTATGTGACAGAAAGAGCATGTGCATTTGAACGGAAAACAATGTAATTTTGGCTATTAGTTTTTGGGCAATCGTGCAAATATGTACGGCTGAAGAACCAAAGAAAATAAAGTAACTTTTTTTTTTATAATGAACATACGTTACTAACATTGGCCGGACATTTGCAAAATTGTCAACATAACATAAGCTTTATAGTAAGTATCATCTATCTACTATTTTTACGTATATTTAAAATTTGGTGTTGCAGATATGACGAGGACCAGCGATTTGGCCGCGACCCCGAAGACGATCGGTCGATTGACAACGGCCGCGGGGGAGGTGGTGGTGCTGCTGCTATTGGAGGGGTGGGAGGTGGTGCCGATGGAAACGGCGGGGGTCCAGGTGATGGTGAGGGACTTGAACCGTTTGAGAATGGGGTCCCTGGTTTTGTACGGGGTGACAATGGTCAGATGTTCCAGATCAAGCAGGAGCATGAAATTAAACATGAGATGCTCGACTACTAAGTGTAGGACAGGTTTGTCGGAGCACCCTGATACAGCAAAGAGGTCTTTTGTAGGAAAATGCTGAACATAACCGAAAGAAGTTTATTGCCTAGTAGATGTAAAGAAAGGGCACGCTTAACAAACAACATTGTCGGTCATCCGCACATTACTAGAAGCTCCCTATTTATGTATTGCTAGTTTCCCTAAAGAAAAGGTGGAAACATCTGGAGCATAGGTGAGCTTTTTTTCGGAACTTAAGCTTAAGCTAACCTGTAATGTGTGTATATATATATATATATATATATATATATATATATGCATACAT